CCCGTAGCCCGCCCGACCCGAGCAAATTTTTCAAAAAACCATCCCCGACCGCCCGTCGCCACGTGGCCACGTGGCCCCCGCGGGTCGAAACCCGTGACCCGCACACCTCTGCTATGAATACGATTATTTCAATATCTTCTTTTTTCATGAGAAATAAAAAAGGTGGCTTGACAATGCATGTTATATTTATGATTCAAGGATAGATTAGTACACTATGAGAAACTGATTCATGCACTACCAACTGTTTTTTAGAATGTATAAAATATTCGTTCGTTTTTTTTTCAATTTCAATAAAACAAAATGAAGGTTCTAAGTATTTTTTTGCTATTTACTATTGCTGTGGCTTGTTTTGCTGATACAATAGTCTATCGTGGTACGATATGTGGTTGGGGCGATCCATCAAATCTTAATCAAGTTTTATGCAAAGGATTGAATCCAATAGATAGTTGCCCTCCTGGGTTTTTGCGACAACAACTCGAAGGCAATGTTGCTTATTGTTATACAAACAGTACAACAATGGAAAAAAATGGTGCTCCACTTGGTAGATTATGTGGTGGTTTAGCACGTAATCTATGTGGTGGATTTAGTCCAAATGAATAGTGTCCACCAGGTTATACTCAAGTTGATCAATGGATATGTTATAAAAGTGATTCAAAAGTAGAAGATACATCAGGAACAGTTTGTGGAGTGGTTAGTGATTATATTGGACAGACATGTAATGGATTACCATTAAGAACTTGTCCATTTGGATATTACTCCATTGATTATGAAAGAGAATGGGATTGGCATGCTTGTTTTAAAAAATAGATTATCTTATTTTTGCTTCTTTATTCATAAATAGAATGGGACCAAGCTGAACATCAGTTCTGGGTGTGGGCGTGGATGAGGGTGTGAGTGTGGTTAAAGAAGATATGCTCACACGCACACTCTCAAGAGTTTCTAGATCTTTTCAAGTGAATACTTTGCTTGTCGACATTTTGACACCTCACCCCTATCATTCACATTCATACTCGTAATCAACACTCTCACTGCTACATACTTTTATGAAGTGAATATTTGATTTCAATAAAATTTGGGTTGGTAGTCTTTTGACCACCAAAAAGTTGAGTTTTGATGATCAAACCTGAGAGATGCGAGATGATCACAAAGAAATGAGTGTTTTGATCACTAAATTTATTTTTAATTAAACTAACAATGATAAATAGAAAGAAACACATTATTTAGAGAACATGAAACAGCTAAGGGTGTGAGTGTAGGAGCTTGCCTTAAACAAGGGATATCTACACCCACAACCTCACCCATACCCACACTCACAATCTCACCCACACCCTCACTCTCACCCACAAACACATCCACCCGCACCCCACCCACCCCACACCTACACCCTCAAGATAGTTTTTCGAGTTCAGTTAGAGCTATCAGAAATCTGATTTCAACAATGGATAGAGCTCGTCGAGTTGCACTTGGATCTCTTCTACAACCCTCTGGAACGCATCACAGACGAATCACCGGTGGAAATACTCGAATCGGCTGCCTACTTCACTTACGTATATAATTAACTATATCATTGGAATTATATAATACACTTCTCTTTTATATGAGTATGATTTCAAATGAAACAATCGTCGAATATTATATTATTGAATTGAACATAATATACTCTTTACAAAAAAACATCGCCTGTAACTCATTATTTTTCTAAATGAACAAACTATAATAAAATATTCTGGTATTAAGTATTCAGTTTCTATTAGATACACTTTGGATTTCCTTTCATAAGTCATGATTTTAAATGCTTTTTATCCGATTTTATATTAAATATTTTTTTCTGTATTTTTTATGTTAAAAGCTTTTAACTCACATCTGCCATCATTTTGTTTATAAGTGATTCTAAAGAGAGAAAAAAAATAGGAAGGCAATATATTTTTTTACGTGTATCTTGTATTTTGTGGATTTTTTTACATCAAATGGATCGCGCATTGATAAAAGTATGAATCTAGCAACCAAGCTAATGACTATTTTTCCTGTAATTCAGAGATAGTTTTCATTGGTAAGTTCTACACTGTCATTTCTTGAAACATAGAAGATTTCTAAAAGTATTATCAATCAATAAATCACTTTAAATATTAGTATGCTACTGTATAGATTATCTAAATAATCATCATATTTTAAAAGTACAGTTTTGATAGATTTCTAGTGAACTAACTGAGAAAAAAATCTTGTTTTCTTCAGCATACACAAAACAAAGTGATGATGTCTCGAGAAATAAAAAGATCTATTGAAATTTGCCATTTCAAAATGATTGAATACTGATATACAAACTGAAAACTTTTTTTTTTGTTTTTTTTATTTTCTCAAAGTTAGACATAAAGAAATATGTAGCAAAGCTAGCAAAAGCCAGATGTCATAAGTTTTATTGTAAAATGAAGGATATTCATATGAAGAGAAAATAAAATTATCTGGACATGTTCAAAACACAAGAATACACTCATATGTATGCCTTTACCAGTTGTGCATAGACTTGTATCGAAGCTGAATCCGATTGTGGCCTAGGAATTGTTGAAAATGATGATTCTTACTTGTTCCTTATGATAATACTAGGAATCAGATAGATTATATTATCTATTTTAGTTCGATATTTATACTGAATAATACTAAACACTGAAAAAATTATAGAACAAACTTACGCATTTCCTTTTTTTGTGTGTGACTTCAATGCTTATCATATTAATCAAATATTTGCATAATTTTCTTCTTGCTTTTACTGAAAAATCTTCAATTCATAAATAATTTTAGATAATTTTCTAACAGTTATTATGCAAGATTGAAAACTTTTAAATATTATTTTGATTTGTTTTCTAATTCTCATATATCGTCAATTATACAGGTATTCTACGAATATCAGGCTTGGATAAAAATATCAACTATGGCGAAAAACAGAGCAGAAGCTTATCTTGTAGTGTATTAAGAGAATTAATATGAAATTATGCATGTTCTTTTTACTTGTTTTAGTCTCAACCTGCAAATGATGGCATTGCTCAAACACCAGCTACTCTATTACGTACCATGTATGCATATTATAAATTGTAGTGAATACAAAAATGAATCTTTTTTATTGTAGATGGGAGCGATTGCAAAAGAGAAAATTGTTGTGGATCATATTTTTTATTGTTGTTGTTGTGCTGATCATAATTATTTCAACAACTATTGTATTAACGAAAAAAACAGCTGTTAACAAAGCGACAACAACAGAAATCAGTACAACATCAAAAGGTGTAGTTTTTCAAAAAAAACAAGTTTTCATTTTTTTATCTGAATATTCTATTCGAATAACAAAACAAAGAACACGGCATAACAGAGCTTTAAAGGACTTGATTCCCGTTGAATAGTAGCCTATTTGCATTTCAACAGAAAACTTGCTTAAGTAATTTTTTCAAAACTAAAGTATTTATTCTTTTAAAGTGCATCTTTCATTCATCATGTAGATGAATCTAGTAATTCTGTAACATATTAAACTAAATCACTTATTTCAGTTAATGTATCCTATCGTTTATATGCGACAGATTGAGCTCTTACCCACTTGCACCTTCATGATAAAATTATAAAAAAAAAAGAAAAGAATATGTTTTTAATTAATGAGAATAATTATTAATTATAACTATTAGAGATGATGAAACAACATAAAATATTATTATTGACATTTTATATGGATTTTAATAAATGAGATCAATATAGTCTTCAGAGAAGAGACTTATTTGCTTAGCTATTTTATAGAAAATTACACATAACCAGGCTAAAAATAATGGCAACGTAAATGGATGTTTTCGCGTTGTAGTAATACATCGTTTTATAATCATTTAAACCCGTTTAAGACGCCGTTTTCGGTGGTTATAATGATCGTTCTGGGTATGGTACATGATCTATGGAAAAGTCTATTTATTATCGTATTAATTATGACAATAAAAAAACTTTACTATATTTTTGAATGGCAACTAATAGTAGGTATTTTATAAATTTTATTACATGTATAGTTCATTATTTTCTCGGAAACTTTGGTAGAATGAACTATACTAGTTGAGTTAATCTATAAGATTCGAAAAGATCTTAGCACTAAAGTCATACTGTACCAACTGATTTGTCACAATTGTTGTAATAGAAATGTAATTATAAATAAATATTATCAAAGTCGAAAAACAGACGAGGAAATCTATATGAATGTATTTGCAGCCACTTATATTTTTAATAGATAGAGAAGTGGTGAACTTTGAAGAAAATTCGATTAAATGTTCTTATTTCATATAGAACTAACAAAGTTATCAACAACGGCAACGACAACGGCAGCAACAACAACGACAACCACTACAACAATAGCAACGACGACGACAACAACCAGAACAACGACAACGACAGCAACAACAATTACAACTACAACAACGACAACAACGACAACTACAACAACGACAACTACAACAACAGTAAACCCATGTAAGTAAAGAGATATTCTAGTCAGTTGTATTATAGTATACTCAAAATAATTATTTTTTCAAATATTTTACGAAAAAAACTGAAATTCTAATATGTATTGCAATAGATTTTAGGAATATCTTTATATTTGTTTTGTATTCTTATCATACCATATCATTTATGAAAGAATAAATTTCGAAGAACTCCTATATTAACCTTTTGGCTGCAGGATTTTCTTTAGAAACTTAAAAATTCTTTTTTGTTATACGTATATGACGTAAGGAAAAAACGAGAAAGAAATGGAAAACATCTGAACATATGCACATTGACGTGCAATAGTAGAACGCAAGAAAATATAAATGGAATGTCGCCACTATATACGTCGAACAAACTTATTTTTATTCCTTTAGATATAGAAATATTTATTACAAGGATTTTAGACCTTAGGAAAATTTTTCGGCAAGTCATTTGCTTTGTTTATTATCTATTATCGATTATCACAATAAAATAATCTAAATTTAACTTAAATTATGTTGAAAAAGTTTCTGACAAATGCTTTCATGAAAGCTGAAATTATATAGAAATCTATAGGTTTTCAAATACTAGAAAATCAGAGTGAGCCCCATGCGGGACCACCCGCAGCCACACGGACACATTATATGAAATATCAGTTTGAGTGAGTTTAAAATATGATCATAGTAAAAATTTGATAGTAATTTCGTTTGTTTCTTTATGTAACTCAATTAATATCTTATGTCATACGAGTCACATTACAATATATCATAAAACTACTTCTCTACAGTACAATGTATATTGCTCTCTTCTTTCCTATGATTGTTCTATAACTGTCTATCTTCTTCCTACGATTAACGATAATCACTTCAAAAAGAAAAGAGAACATTGCACATATATAGAGTAACTGAACTAGTATCTTATACAGACACAATAATATCATATAAAGTTACAAGGCTATTATTCTATGTATCTATTATTATAACCATCATAATTAATAGAAAGGAAACAAACGCTTGACCAGACGAGCAAATGAAATCATCAACAAAAGGATGGTATCAATATTGATACGATTATACTAAGCTTATAATAAAAACATATTAAATAATTAATCATTATTTTTATTTCTGTCTATTATTAGGTATATCTGGTAATTTACTGTGGAATATGACTGGTATTACTGTACTTGGTGGATTTCCATCATATATAGCAGCATCTGGTGTATTTGTTGACTTAAATGATACATTATATGCTGTGGATGAGAACCGTAATTTTGTTGTATGGAAACTACCGAAAGATGATGTAAACGCAACAGTTGTAGCTGGAATTTATGGATCACCAGGATCGAATAGTTCTCAATTAAATAATCCTAATGATGTTTACGTTGATAGATATGGAGATATGTATGTAGTTGATACTTTAAATCATCGAATACAAAAATTTAGTAGTGGGTCAAACATTGGAGAAATCATTGTTGGTATAAATAGATCAGCCGGATCTGCATTAAATCAATTAAATACTCCACGATATTTTACTTTCGATTCAACAGAAACATATATGTATATCGCTGATCATGATAATAATCGAATTTTACGTTTTTCAACAAATTCAACGTCAGGTACTGATGGAACTGTTGTAGCTGGTGGAAATGGACATAGCGATGCAACTACATCATTAAACGCTCCATGGGGCATTCATTTATCATCTGTAAGTAATGATCTGTTTATAGTAAATAATCGTGGACACACAGTTATGCGTTGGACTCCTGGTGCTACAGCAGGTGATTTCGTTATTGGCACGCCCGGAGTATCAGGTTCTAATTCAACTCTCTTATATAATCCCACGGGAATTAAACTTGATAGTTATATGAATATTTATGTTGTTGATAGTGGTAACAGTAGAATTCAATTGTACTGTGCCAATAGTAATGTTGGTGTTACAACTACTGGCAATGGTACTTCGGGTAATGGTGCAACACAATTAAGTGGTCCACGAGGTATTGCATTTGATTCAGCAATGAATATGTATATTGGTGATACAGGAAATGGACGAATACAAAAATTTATGAAACTCTAAACTACTATAGACAAACTTCTTGTTCATCAGACCTTCTTTTTAAATTATTAATCATGATATTTTATCTCGTTGAACTGTTGCTTAATATTTCATATAAAAACAAACATTATAAATACATAGCTTTTTATCAATACTTTTCTTTTTTGCTTATTCAATAAACCATATGTTAATCTTCATATTTAGGTGAAATTGTATATCATAATCGAATAGAATTCGACATATACGAATATATTCAGTTTAACTAGAATATTTAATAACAATAAATAATATTTTCTCAATCACTTTCAGGGTGTGGGTAAATATGTACAATATCTACACTCACCCTCTAGATGATGTGTTTCATGGTACAATCATGAAGAAGATAGAGATGATTGTGATAAATTGATTGATCATTTTAAAAATGATTTTAATAGTTATTACATTGACACATAAGCTTTACAAGTTTTATTTTCGTATAACGAAATTCTATTTATAAGGGTGTGGTTATGGATGCGGGTGAGTGTGATTAATAAAAGATCCACACACACCCATACGCACACCCACATCCATGATTAAAATAGTACGATCATCGAACGAAGACTAAACTAAATTACCATTTAATCATTATTCTGACCTTGAAAATTAATAATAATTTTCTTTTCATTAAAAAAAATCGCATCTATTATTCTCTTTCTGGATGAAGATGGTGTATTTACATTCAGATAACAGTCATAGCCCATGCTTCTTCCATCATCTTGCGAATAGTTTGTTCGTATTCTTTGCATGTTTAGCTTTGCAATGGAGAATTAACGCAAAGATAAGATATGAAGAAGAAAGAAAAAGGGACAGTTCAACAAGAGTATGCATCAACAGTAGAAACAGATATATAAGGTGTCCTATATATTCATTTTCATTTTTATTATTATAGTGTTTATTATACAGAATATGGCCTTATAAGTCATTCCTACTAAGCATACAATAGAGATTGTGAGTCGACAAGATAAGTATAGACAAGGACAGTATGACTTAAAAAATTACCGATACTTCGCTTTTTTATATGTTTTTCTTTATTAGTACTATATATGAATATATACTCACACTTTTCAATATTTCTATAATTCTTCTAGATTTGATTCTTCGAGCAGTTAGGAATAATCATGAGTATTTTGAAGAAGATATTCTTTATTTATTTAATAATTCATCTTGTCAAATCTGATCCAATAAATCGTAATATTAAAATTGATGGTAATTTTGATGATTGGAAAAATGTTCCATCTTATACTGATCCAGAAGATAATATCGATGGTACAGTTTATGATCAAAGTCCATGGTTTCCTTCCTTGAAATTTCCTGATTGCCATGATACAGTTACCTTTCAACCAGATCCTATGCCAACACATGTTTATAATCCAAATGCAAATATAGTTGAATTTAAAATAGCTTACGATGATACATCTTTATATGTCTATTATCGTGTAGTTGATGGTGGAGTTATTGGTAAGACTTCCGTTGGACCAAATGAATTTGATAAAAATAATCCATTAGAATCGTCAGCTGGAACATATTATGTAATAGCAACAATTGATATTGACAATGATAATACAACAGGCTATTGGTTACACGGAGGTGGTTACCATCCAACTGCACCAGGATTTGATGGAAATTTTGAAGTAGAATTTTTTAATGGTTCATTTAATCAAGATGTTTATCTCGATCATGCCGCTAATAACAACACGGAAGTAAATTATTTAAAACATGAAAATAAAAGGAATCAATTTATATTTCGTCCAGCAATTTATGAGTCTTACACGGAATACATTTATTGGAAACATAAACCAACTGAAAGTGAAATTAAACGATGTTTAGATGGACCATTTAAACTACCTCGTCCATATAGTAATAGTTACATATGTTTTACTCATGATAGAGCACCTGGACCATTTCAGGGTATAATTAGTTATTCTCGAAGTGAAAAAGGTAATGAATTTGAAATACGAGCACCATTCGAAGGATTCTTATTGAACAAAGATACCGGCCGACCAACTCTACAATTAGGGATGACAATAAAGATATCATTATCATTGGAAGCAAGTGGAGAAGATTCAATAGTACTACATTGGTCTTCGGATACAGCTGCGACAATTCAGTATACGTTATCTAACAGTACTGCATAAATATTCAATTATAACTTATTGCTTTTTTTCTTATTTAATTAAAAATAATATGAGTATGAGTGTCTAAAATATTTGGATAGAATTATAGAAAAATCACATATAATTTCAAAATCTACTTTAGTCTCAATAGTACTACAGTATCATTCTTCATGTGTTTAAATAGAAGCTCCTCCTGAAGCAGTCGACTTGAACAGCGTTAGAAGTCTCCTTTATCTTAGGAATTTTTGAAGAATCTTTTAAAAATGTTTATTGGTATTTTCATAGTCAAATTTTATTAACTCTAGGGATTTAAGCAACACTTTTTTCTGTAATGTATTTCTATCTTACAGCGTAAGGCAAATGTAATACACATTGAATATTCAATATAGCAAAAACTTCATTTAATTTATATTTTGATTCACAAAACAAAAGACATATATTTTTGCCAAGAGAAAAAGACTTTGTTATATTCTTTATGGAAGAATTGACCATGCATATTATTTCACATGAATAAAATATATGAAAAGAATTTCAAATAATAATGCGGCATTCCATTTCACATATTGCAATGAAAATCCATTAAAAAAATAATATTCTTAGATTTATAATTTCTTTGAAAACATCACACTGAGTCGTCATGGGAGGAAACAGTAATTATACACGGAAACAAGAAGCATGACAATAATAAGTAAGAATCAGGTCATCCTAATGAGGAGAATGAAGTTATTCATCTTTACATTAATTAGAAAGGAAAAGATTCACTAATAATACTCATTTAATGCTAAAAAACTTTTTAATTATAAAAAATTATTTCATGGAAAAATCATTTTTAGTGAAAAAAGAAACTTAAAATAAATGAATATAAAACTGGTTCGCTTATTTTTTTAAATCATCTCGAACTAAAAGTTCTTTTTTTCTATCATATATCTATATTTATGTTAGAAAATATTTTGTAGTAACTATATTTCATCTGAATTACTATTATGAACATTAGTATTGAATGATCTTAGTCCTATTTTTATTACTTTTATATTGAGATTGAAAAAAAATTGAACAGTGAGTATTAAGTTAACATCTATCTAGTAACTGCCTAGTCGAGACCTATTTTTACAGTTTGTAGTAGAAAAATCTTATATTCATATTGACTTAACGATTACATCAAATATAAAACAGTGAATATTCAGAATGATATTTTAATTCTTTCGTTATCTTCTTTAGTTTTATAGAAGAAGTTATTAAAAAATTTAGAAATGTCTACAGTTCTTTTGTCGATTCAACAAGCTATTACTCGTTATCTTTTTCCGATCGTTGTTGCGGTTGGAAATAGTGGTAATCTTATTATTATCATCGTCTTTTCACAACCTGGTCGTCGCACAAACGCATGCTCTCTCTATCTACTTTTTGGTGCCATTTCCAATATGGTCAATGTCAATATAGCTATCGTACCACTCATAAACGCACTATTAAATCCACCAGATCCTTTTTCTCAGTCTCTTGTTCTTTGTCGCGTACGAGGCTATCTTATTCATATCTCGAATCATTATTTTCGTACACTTGTCGTTCTTGCATGTATTGATCGATATGCCATGACAAGTATGCGTATATCCATACGAAATTGGTCATCACTTAAAGTGGCTCGAAGAGCAATTCCTTTGGCATTTATTATCTGGCTCTTAATAGCAAGTCACATTCTTGTTTTCGAAGATATTCAAAATGGTCGTTGTTATGTCTACGGACTCTATGGCACCGTGTATAGTATTTATAATATTATTATCAATATTCTACCTGGTAGTTTGATGTTAGTCACTGGCTTTTTAACAATGCGTAATATACGCCGTAGTCGGATGCGTATTAATACAACAGAGCAAATAATAAATATAGGACGACTAGTGAACAAGAAAGAACTTGATCTACTTAAGATTGTTATAGTTGAAGTATGTGTCTTTTTGATTCTTACTACGTTATTTCCCATTACTTTAATCTACTCAACATTTACGGGTAATATTGTTAAGAGCGACGATCGTGTTCGTATCGAAACATTTATCAATTTTATTGCACAGAGTTGTCTTCTCTATTTCACTTCATGTTCCAACTTTTTCATCTACACTGCAACTTCGAAATCATTCAGACATGATATGAAGAAACTCCTATTTAGACTTAAACGACTTATTACTGTCCGATCGATGACCATCGCTAATTCCATAATGAGACTCGTAGTGCTTCGACCGCAACGCACTATGACTCACACATGATTTGTATATTCAACTAATTCTTTATCATTATACACATTTATACTTGAATTATAATTATAACACATATGAAAAACTCGAAAGTTAAGGGTGTGAGTTTGGATATTTTATAAATGCCTGAGGCGCATCCTCATTGTAAATGTAACTTTTTTGTATGTCTCTATAGAATAAAAGATTAGAATATTATTTATTTTTTTTTCGATTAATTTAATAAAGCCTACGCTCCCATTTGTTGTTCAAGTGTTTTTACTAATAATGGATAAATACGTCTTTTATGGTGTTCAAAAAATTCGAATACTCTTGGCATTATTTCGGGCCACGATGATTTAAATTCACCAGTTTCTCTAAGAAATTTAAATACATTATCTAACGATTCGATATATTTCACTTGAATACATAATTGATACCATAGATAACATATATCCTTATTCGAATATTTACTCATTTGACAATTTTCATCTATTTTTTTGTTAATATCATAATTAATTGGTTGCTGATTAAGAAGATATAATAGATAAGTAATTTGATTGGTATTGAGTACTTTCATATGATCACTGGATATCAACGAAGGTTCATTAGCTAATTAATGACATTGTTGTTCAAGTTTTGTAGAAAAATCAAATATAATTGGAGGCATACCAGGTGTGTACAACCAGAAATTCCAATCAACTTTTGCGACATTTGGAAAATAAGATTCGAAATATTGAATAAAATCATCAGTACTAAGAATTCGATAACTAAATTTTACGACATATGAACGAAAAAATTGATTAAAATCCTTTTCTGAACAAACGATATTATGTTCAAGAAACCAAAGTAATGCAGCACCTTTATAATATTGTGCCAAAAAGAACTGAGAATGAAATATATATATAAGTTTAATTTTACTTGAATTATAAGCATCATCTGGATTGACATTTTTCAAACAATTCCTCAATCCAAAACGTTTATCACCGTTTCCATATATTTCCATTTCTGAGTAGAATGAAAACGTCGTGTTTCACCATAATCATTAGCTAATATGCCGACTAATTTAGCTTCGATAAACGATGTAAAACCTTCATTTAACCAAAAATGTTCCCAATTTTCAATTGTTACTAAATTATCTGAATTAAAACTAATATTTATTAATGAATAATATAGTTTAAATAATGCCTGTCCATGAATGAATTAATTCATGTACAATTACTTTTGTCAATGATCGATTACCAGCTAATAATGTCGGTGAAATAAAATTCATACATGGATTTTCCATACCAGTATCTAGATGAATTGAAAGTTTTAATTTAATAGAAGAAATAAAACTGGCTTATATGGAAATGATGGTGGTAAAACAAGAAAATTATATCGTTTCCATTTATATTCACCAAGAAGTTGTTCAGCAGTAGATAAAGCACGTTCAGTATCTTCAAATTCATATTTACATTGCTTCAATTTACTTGGTTCACACCATACACGTATACGATCACTTAAATTACACGAAACTAAATAACCAACAGCAATAGCAATCAAATAAGATGAAACAGCAATAGTTTGCTCAAAATAATATGTATTTGTATCTAAATCATGTTTCGTTTGTATTACACTCATTAACTAAATACATTCAGATCATAGAGATAGAGAATAATTCTGTTTTAAACTTACCACAGTCAATGGTTTAGGACAAGTGATTTTAGCTGTATATGTACTTTTGACACCAGGTGTATCTTGACAAGGATATAGTGATCGTGCAAGAATCGGTTGACATTGACTGTACATGAAAGGATATTGTCGATCAGCAGTTTGTACGATTGTCATCCAATGTAATGCTTTTGATTTATCAGATGATGTTGAATAATAGATAAGAATTGAGAAACAAGGAGAATCTTTTGGAATATATTCTATATCGATAGTCAATGAATTATGTTCGGTATCGATTTGAAATGAAAGAGATTTTGTTTGGTACATGATTTTTTCTATATTTAATTCATCAACATCAAGAACAATTTTTTCATCGAGATTATGATCAAACTACAATATATCATTTTATGAGATGTTTTCTTTAACAATCTGTAAATATACTTACATGAGTTATTGTTTTATCATCATCACTTGTTTTAATCAACATTTAAAAATTATTCTTTAAAGTATATATGAAAATAAAGAAAAACTGCAAAAATATCTACTGTCTGTAATATGGTGCAATCTATGTATATACGAAGGTAATTACACAATATTTGCTCTCAAAACAGCTGACGAACAATAAAGAGAGTATTACTTATTCGTCATGAAAGATATGTATAAGAAAATAAACCTTCTAAAATGGAAGAAAATCTGAGATAATAGTACATGGATGATGCAATAAAATTCTATAATAATCTTGAGAGTGAGAGTAGACATCTATTATTCTTCTTTACATCCTCAACTTGACAGATAAACTACTTATGCCATTTACTAATAATACGTCACTATATTTCGATCAAAAAGTTGTTGAGTGTAGATATTAAAAAAAAACTGCCCTCTTGAAGAGAAGTAGAAAATCATGATATACGTTAAATGTTTTCTTTGAGGCATGAAATTAAAATAATATTCAAATAGTTATCCTTGTTTGTCTCAAGGGAAACAACCTATTAAATTTTTTTTTCTTCTTACCAATTTATTACTGAAGAATACTGACTATAAAAACAAGCTGCAACAATAATATACACATCATTTTTTTTCAAGCAATATCGTAAGTAAACATTTATTTTACTGATATTTCTTTACAGATATTATAGATATGAAGACATAATATCGCAGACGTATCATATAGATGAACTTAGTAAAAGCAGTAAAAGGATAAAAATCTTGCTAGGAAGATACGTGAGGTATTAAAAAGCTTTTGAGCTTAAGTTTTGTCTAAAAGTAGGAGGTATGCGGACTAGGAAAAATCTAAGAGGATATGGGCACAAATTAAGATTTAATTGAGATATCGACTTTTTACGAATATTGTTGAATACATGGATATTTTAAAAGCATTATATCTCGTTAGTGCTTAGTCTAAAAATTCTGAAACTTTGATTTTGTCGAAAAAACGGGGTCCCGTAGGAATAGTCTAGTAAAAAGTCGATATCTAACCCAAGCTTCAACTTGCGCTCATATCTTCTTAGACTTTTTCTAATCTATACACTCTCTACTTATAGAAAAAATTTGAGCTTCAAAGTTTTTTAACACCTCGAGTGGTTCCCTAGTTAGACTATTCATGTCATGAATGCATGATTTTTATAAATATTATTTTTATTTTTAGCTTGCTAATGAGATGAATATAAATGATATTTTTCTCATTAACTAAAAGTTAATAGCAAAAAAAGAAAGAAACACGTCATTTTCCATAATATAGGACATTGTCACTTGAAACATTTTCAAGTTGATTATTCATCCAGAAATTCAATAATAATTTTCAATTTCAGAGTTTTAAATGAATTTTCATAATAATAGAGCACCTAGATAAATTAATCAATATTTTTTATTCGCTCATATATGAATATCAGAGTTGTAGAGAGAGCCATAATTAGTATGAAACTATATAAACTAATTTTAAATAAGGTGTATCTTTCATAATTATCGTTTTCTTAACAATTATTTTGAATAATGTATCTCTTGTCAAATAATTTATGTAAACATATTATTTAGTTAATCGTCACAATGTTGAACTTATATTTTGAACAACTATGGTTGACAACGATATTTTTATCAATGTATGTAATATCTCATGGAATACATGAACAATACTAATAGATATTTTCATTTAGATTTTCATTTGAAGAATATCGAGCTCTAACTATTTGTCCAAACATGACTTGGTCATCCAATGGAACAACAATTGCTGGTTCATCGTTAGGCTTATCGAACAACACTGCAGCATATCTTAAAAAGCCACAGGACGCATTCGTTGATCAGAATGGTACTCTGTATGTTCTAGATAGTGGAAATCTTCGAGTGCAAGTTTTTTTTCCAAATTCGACTATTGGAACAACAATCATCAATGGCACTTCTGGTTCTAAGCTGAATCAATTCTATACGAGTAATTTTATCTTTTAATAATCAATATTTAGATTTTCTGGCTTTTATTTATTTCAGTGGATGGTATTAGTGTAGATCTTAGTGGAAATATTTATATCCTTGATCATGGAAATGAACGTGCGACTAAATGGGTACCTGGTGCAGTCAATGGAACAGTTGTTGCTGGTAATAATGGCATGGGTAATCGTAGTAATCAACTAAATCTTCCTTATGGATTCTTTGTTGATCCCATTACATTATTCATTTGGATTGCTGATACTTATAATAGTCGCATCGTTCGATGGGAATCCCCATCAACAGGTATTATTGTTTGTGGAAGTAATGGAACAAGATCGGATCAATTCTACTCACCATTTGGACTATTTGTTGATACAATCAACTCGAACACGATTTATGTTGCAGATACATTTAATCATCGAGTTCAAATGTGGTTACAAGGAGCAACTAATGGCACCACAATAGCTGGCCAAACAAGCGTTTGTGGTTCGGGACTTAATCAACTCTGTAATCCAGAGTCAGTCATTGTAGATACAAATGGGTATATATATATTGCAGATAATACGTTCTGTCGTATTATGCGATGGAAGATAGGATCAACTTCTGGTACGATGATAGCTGGAGACTCAATATTTGGATCATTGCCAAACCAATTGTATTATCCATACAATATTAAATTTGATCCAAATGGAGCCCTTATTATTGCTGATACTTATAATAATCGTGTTCAAAAGTTCGTCGCTTCTTGTGGTAAGTTTCAAACATGTCAAAATAAGTTTTATCAAAATATAGATGGAATTTATTTTCTAGGAACAATATTTTAAAGAGTAGTTATCATCTATGAGATATTTTGAGATTAGTTTCTATAAATTATTTAATGATTTAATCATGTTTTAATAGAAAATATAACAAGCACACCGTTAACACCAATGACCAGTCGTCTGACATCAATTAATAAGAAATTTGTCTTACTAAAAAATCCTGTATTTTTTCTGCTTTAAAATATCGCATCAACAACTCGTTTTATAACATTTTCAAGTAAATAGATAAACGATTTTTCCCAGAAAAAAAATATTATTCATTTAACAAAAAGAAACCATTTCACTATTAAAATAATGGAGAAATATTTGACTCACTAAACAACTAACTCAAATAAATGTTTAATAGAATATTTAAAGAAAAATTGAAATAACTATCTCTCCTTTTGTTTATATTTTTAACAGTAATGACAAACTTATCATCTACGTCAAAAGTCTCAACTTCGCCAACCACAATAAGATTGAGTTCAAATCTATCCATGACATCAACCTCCACAACAACAACAAGTTCTTCAACAAGATCAACCAGTTCGACAACAAGCTCAACATCAACAAGTTCAACAACATCCACTTTCTCAACAACCTCAACAATAACAACATCAAGTACTTCAACGAGTTCGACGACAACAACAACAACAACAACATCATCAAGCTCAACAACAACAAGCCCAACAACGTCATCAAGCTCAACAACAACAACAACAACAACAGCAACAAGCTCAACAACAACATCAACAGATTCAACAACAGCAACAGCAACAGATTCAACTACAACATCAACAACAAGTTCAACCACAACAACAACATCAGCAGATTCAACAACAACATCAACAACAAGCTCCATAGCAACAAGTTCAACAACATCAGCAGATTCAACAACAATATCAACAACAAGTTCAACTACAACAACACCATCAGCAGATTCAACAACAACATCAACAACAAGCGCAACAGCAACAAGTTCAACAACATCAGCAGATTCAACAACAACATCAATAACAAGTTCAACCACAGCAATAACAGATTCAACAACAACAAGCTCAACAACAATATCAACGGATTCAACAACAAGTTCAACCACAACAACTAGCTCAACAGCAACAAGCTCA